GGAGAGGTTGGCCAGCATACCACTCACCTCCTTCTTGTCCATGCCTTGCCCTTCAGACTTGGACTTGGGCTTGGCCACAGCCCTTTTGGCGGCTGCCTTCTTCTTCTGTGGGGATGGCTTTGTTTTGGCAGTTTTGGGAGCCATGATTGAAAGTAAGCTACCAGAAGCAAGGCCCAGACCACTGCTTGATCCAAACTATCCATGTGATCAAACCAAAACAAGCCTGTGTGAATGAAAACAAATGTTGGTGCAAAAAATGCATTTTTGAGCTCAGACCTCGCAATCCTCATCCCCACGTCTGTGGACATGGGGCACCATCCTCATGAACAATTTGACTTTCAACCACTGGAAAAGTACCCAAGGCACACGGGTCTGCTCAAGCAAGCATGGTCAATGGCAAACTCCAGTCACCAAAAATAAGGTTGGCAAGTTTCAAGGAAATATCTCAACCTCAATCAACCCTCCTAAGTTTAAAAAAGCTAAAAATTTAAACTTTTTTTAACTTTTTTAAACTTTGATTTCTTTATGATTCTAATAAAGAAATCAAAGTTTAAAAAAGTCAAAAAAAGTTTAAATTCTTAACTTTTTTTAAACTTCTCCCTTGTACCCCAAAAGCTTCCCAGGTGGTCATATATGATCTGCATGGACAACTGCAATCTCATGGCTAGGTATCCCGCGTTTCTTCTTCAAAAGCACCTTGGCTGCCCGATGGCTGCAAAATCCAGTGGCTCCCAAATGAGCAACAAGGGCATCATGTAGATCAAACAAGAAGCATCTGTGTGAAAAGGAGGCCCCTTGATGCCTCCTGAAGGTAACAATGCGTGTATATGAAAAGGAGGCCTCTTGATGCCTCCTGAAGGTAACAATGCGTGGACCTCGCCTTCAAACCTGAACTCCTGAACTCGCCGACTGGTGCCTGGGAAGCACAGATGCCATCCAAACAAGATGTGCTGACACACCCGGCAATGAAAATCAGCGCATTGCGTGGTGCAAGGCCAGCTCCAAATGCAAACTCTCTTCACTCTGTGTCCTTCCCCCCTTCCTGCACCAAGTGCAACCAATTGGAACCTCAAGGAGACCAGGGGGGGGCAAAAGCCTTCAACTGCAAAACCCTCAAGAATGACCAAGCTGACATTTTTCCCACCTTGTCATACTGTACTGCCCTGGCTCCAGCCTGACACCAGCAAGGTATAACCAGACAGATCCCTAAACACTGGCTACGTGCAAAAATGATATCCAACACATTCTAAGTGCAACATTCCCAAAAACACAAGCAACAACATCTTAACCTTGCTGGTTATCCTTTCCATCCTCCTGCTTGTCCACCCCATCAGGCGGCATAGCCGCCGTGGGGGGCATCTGGGGGAAAGGAGGCACCGGAGGGAACGCTGGCTTAGGGACAGGCTGAGCAGGCTGGATAGGCTGAGCAGGCTGGGCAGGTGGGCCTGGAAGCCCCATCTGCGGGACGCCGCCAGCAATCATGGCAGCAATCTGCTGTGCCAGTTGCTGCTGCTCTGGCCCAAGAGCGCCAATATTGATATTGGTGACATTCACATTGATGATGGGACTAGCCTTTGGCACAGTCCCACCAGCTTTGGCCATAGGCCAGAAACCGGGAGGATACATTAGCCCCGACGGCAACCCTGGATTCCCTGGGCCCCTAAAGGCAGCAGGGATGCTTGCACCACCCTGCGGCTGGCCTCCTCCAGCGCCTCCTCCAGAATGTACACGGGCGCGAGCCTGGCAAAAGGCAAAAAAAAAGCTTCGACTGAACCACAAGTTAAAAATAAAAATAGAAATCCAGCGTAAAAAAATGCAACACAGAGCAACTAATTTTGGCACGCTGCCTTCAAAGCCACAGCGTACTGGGTCCCAGATTGGCTTGTAGAAGTGGGGGGCTCGCTCGAAGAGGGTGGCCTGGCTGAAATTGCAGCCCCGCGTGTCGCCCTCCGAGCCCAGAACACCTTCCTCTTCAAGCCCTTGTTCTTGGACTTCCGGACGCGCTTGCCATGGGTCTTGTGCACTGCGGCCAAAGCCTTTTTGGCCTCTTTCATGGCCAAGGACTTTTTCTTCCTTGAGGCCACGATGCACTTGACCATGCCCTGCTTGTCGCCAGTCCAGGATTTCTTGGCGGACTTGCCCTTCTGCCAGTAGGCCCAGTCCTTGCGGTGGACATAGTAGAGGGCCTGGGCGTGTGACAAGCAAAAACAACAAATGAAAACACGGAATGCAACAACAAAACTTAAGGAGACCAAATTCTGTCTCCTGTTAAATGATTCATACGTACATATGCTGAAACAAGGGGCGCAGGCTGGATTACAGCATCCACCTTTCCTCAAATACGACCGGCAATGGCACTTCAGGCACTCCCGCAAGAACTCAGGGTTCTCCCAGGGCTCCACCACCTGGTCCTCAACAAAGCCCTGCTCCTCCTCCTCGCCCTCCAAGAGCAGGTTAACAACGCTTGTGGCCTTGCTTGGAGGAGGCGAAGGTGGCGGCATCTTCGGGGGAGTGCTGGGGCCATCCGCCATGGCTTAGAAAGCAGCGTAGAAAACAGCGGTCAAAAAAAACGTGTTTTTTTGAGCCAAGCTAAAAACACACAGCAAGGATGCAGACTGACGGGTCCAGCGCATGCTCTACCCACATCTGTGAAAGTTTGTGGCCGAGAAAACAAATATCGTGCACCATGAAATGTTCACAGGCAACTACTGCAAGCAAGGTGGCGCCTACTGTTTCCCTCCCCCCTCAAAAAAAGCAAGCCAAGGAACCGCGCCAAGCCCCAAGCAAACAGAAGCACGCGAACCACAAAGAGCGTTGTTTTACATCTGCGATCTGGCCCACTGCTTGACCTGGTCTTCACTTTGCCCGGCATGGAGCCTGGCAACTGCCTGATCAGCAATGTCTGAAACTTGGTCTTTTGACAGCGTGTGGCTCTTTAGTTGGAAAATTTGTGACTTCGCAAAAAACTTTTGCCTTATGGCAAAAGCGCCTGATGCCTTGTAAAACATTTTGCTGTATTCGTTCTTGCGATGCGGCTCTGAGCCTTCAGAGTTCGAGTGCTCAGCTGCCCTCTCCTCAGCTTCAGGCATGGACGGTGCTGCAGCTGGCCTTTTCAAGGCAGCCGCTGGCTTTTTAAAAGCGCCAGTGGTGGGAGGAAGTGGCCCCTTCTTCAGTAACAAGTTAGGAACCTCAGTGGGCACTGTGGCCCCATCCACTTTTGCCACTGCAAAGCCTTCAGGGCCAACTTCTAAGGGATAGCGCTGGGCGTCTTTGCCAGCATGCGCTCTGACCAGCTCCAACGTGGAGTTGTCAACATACACAGCAACCTTGTCGTTGGACTGCCTGGAGCTGCTAGCAGCCTCAGAGCCTGGCAAGGGGCCTTCTTGACTACTTGCCACCTGCACTGAAGAATCTATTGACACTGCAGGCGAAAAAACAAGCAAAGGCTTGCTCGAGCCCTTGGGAGGAGTCAAGCCAAGCTCCAAAAAAACTCCCTAGTCCGGGGAGGAGACCGGCTCCTCTTCTTGCTAGAAGCAGAAGCTTCCTGCGCGCTGCTCATGGCAGGTGCTTCTACTGGGCTGCTAGCTCTTGCGCTGGCAGGGGACACTTCATTGGCACCTGCCTTGCCCCTAAGGGCAAGGATGACCTTCCTAACTGCTGAGTGCAGCTTCTTCCCGCTCTGAGCACTTTTCTCTTTTTGCCTGCAGTAAGAAATGCTTTTGCACATCCTGCCAGCAAAGGCATCCGCAGTCTCTGGAGAAACTGCAAACACACTGGAAGCAGCAGCTTTCAAAATGCTTTGGGTGGGCCTTGCTGTCACCTTAAGCAAGTCGATCAAAAAATCTTCGTAGCTGGCCACTACCAAATCCATCTCCACTTGCTGGAAAAGCTTTGGGTCGAGGCAGGTCAAATTGGCCCGTAGCACCTTGCCCACGGCCTTCTCGTCGGCAGTGTTTTTAGCTCGAGCCATTGCATGGATCAAAGCTTGAGCTCCAAAACGGCTGCCAAGATGTCAAATGGTCACCCGAGCTCCAAGACACGCATGCCACTACCCGAAAGGGAATGCTTCAAAGATCTGCTAACTCATGTAAAAAGGAGGCGGCTGCCTCCTGCTCAAAAAAGTGTAAAAAAACAGACCTTAATTAAGGAAAACAAACCTTGAAAAAACACAACCTAAATAAGGAAAAACACCTTAATTAAGGTAGTAAAAAAAGACCTTAATTAAGATAAGGTCTTTTGGGAGGTGAGGGGTACTGTGAGCGGCAAAGCTGAAATCGACGGTTCTTCTGGGGCTGCCTTTTGGGGCCGGCTATTGGCACGGCTGCTGCTGCTTCAATTCTGCAGGTATTTTGAAATGTAGCGTTGCGCACCTGACGTGCGGACCGCTTGTTCTTGCGCGTTCCTGCAGCGCGTTTTGCGGCCCAGGCTTGCTTGTGTTGCGCGTCCTGGCCCCCTTCCGGGCCGGGGGCGCTACGATTTCGGTCAATGCAACCAAGAAACGTAACACAACAGCAGGAAACGAAGGATACCCGCGCCCAGGCCGACGATGAACCAGATACTATCTACCACCGGCAGACTGAGGTGACTTTTGCCACAGATCCTGTCAGTGTGAGGGTGCGGCGACGCTCATCCGAGGCTGTGAGAAAATCCATCTTGAGCCACCGGGCGGTCGCTAACTCCGTCACAGATGACACGCAACGGATGAAGCAAGGTGTGTGTGTGTGTGAAGGGCGCCAAACCTTTCGACGCTCACTGACACAACCAGTCGCAACCTTGGCAAGCGCACTCCCGTACCCCTCTAACATAGCGGCTCGAATCACAAGTGCCATTACACTAATCAAGAGGCCAGCGTTGAGTCAAGGAATCAAAGGGCCAGAACGCGCCCCTTCCAGTTACGCTGGACAGATGCTCTGGGCATCACATCGCTCTAACATTGGCAAGAAGAAAAGCATTCCAGAACCCTTCTAGTCAGCTTCCATTTGCCATCTCTTTTTTCAGTCCTGGCGCCCGTGCATCAGCAAGAGCGGCATCTCAAGCTTGCTGTCAAATTGGCCGACCCTTTCCAGGTGCTCATGATAGGGACACCTCCAGGGCGCCATGGCGATCATCATCCTGCAGCTCCAGTCGCGACCGACCAACTGAGTGAGTGAGTGAGTGAGGCAGTCAGTCAGTGAGTAAGTCAGTCAGTGAGTGAGTGAGTGACTGAGTGAGTGAGTGAGTGAGTGTGCGTGTGTGCGTGTGCGTGTGCGTGTGGGTATGGGTGTGGGTCTGCGGGCAGCCCAGCTAAATTGGCTTTTTTTCTCCGTTGTTTCCCTTTGAACCCCCCCCCACCCGAGCCCAGCCCACCAACGGCACGACGGCAGGAGCTCCGTGAGGAGTTCTTCGTGGCGGGCAACGAGCCGTGGGAGGCCGTGGAGGACGCAGGCTCCGGCCCCTCGCCAGATCCCATCGCTCACTCGGGCCATGGCTCAATCCCTGAGCTGGAGGCTGCTATTGGGTTGGATCTTTAGACTTTAACTTTTGGGATTTCCCTCATATTTCCTTTTAACCAGCAAAAAGTTAGACTTTTTGCTGGGGGACCCAAGTGACCCCAGATTTATCAACCAGCCAGCTTATTCCTTTCAGGGTGGTTTTTTGGCCGCACCCAAAATGGTCTGATTCCCGCACTAAGCCCGGAGACGCCCTCCCTATCAACAACCTGGGCGTCACTAATTCGGGGTCAACATTACTTCGGGTGTGGGTGTGGGTGTGCGTGTGGGTGTGCGTGTGCGTGTGCGTGTGCGCATGCGCGTGCGTGTGCGCGTGTGAGCGCGTGTGTGTGTGTGTGTGTTGTGTGTGTGTGTGTGTGCGGAGTGACAGAATGCCCTGTCACCACCCTTTCGGTTTCGCAGCAGGGGCGTGCAGCACCTTTGGCATACTGCACGCAATGAAGCTGTTGCCAAAGGTGGGAAGGGTGTCCAGACGTGGACACCTGTACCTGCTTCAGTGATTCTGAAAGTCCTTTTGGCCCCTTGGTTGCGGCGCTGTTTGTGCTTCTTGTTCTTGCTCGTAACGTGTTCGACACTAGAGGGAAGCCAAGTGCATTGAGAGCCGAAACTCATCATACTCGAGACTTGTCGGTTGTACTCGAGACTCATCAGTTGTACTCGAAAGATTAGCACTCTCCATCTGGAGTTCAAGTGTGTACACCCCATTCGTGGGGAATCCTCGGGTGTACCCATTGTGTGACCCCGGGCCGGCTCTGTCGGAAAATTTGACCTCAACGTGCGTATCATAGAACAGCGGAATTTCACATTTAATCAGGAACGAGGTTTCACTAAAGGGAAGAAAGCCGTCAGTTCATAGTGACGTCTCACCATAGTTGATAGCTGCCGATTTTCATTGCCTACCTTGACCATTGGTTGAACTTGTTGCTCGTATCATTGCGGTTGTCGATTGCTGACTTGTATTTGCTTTGCCTTGTACATTTCGCTCGACCATTGCAGTTGAGGGCCGCTAACTTGCATTTGCATGGATTTGAATATTGTCGGGTCTGATTCTCTCAAGGTGGAAGTGTGCAAATTCCGATCTGGTTGCGTCACCATGTCTCGACGTGATGATCGTGATAGATCCAGGACTCGACGCAGACGTGATCGGAGTCCGTCCCCTCAAGCTCACAAAGCACGCCGACGTGAGCACAATGACAACCAGGTCTCGGAGAACATGGATTGGAACAACTTGGTTTCATGGCAACACAACTCCGGCTACAATGCTGCTAACAACTTTCCGATGGTGCCTACCAATTTTCAATCGACTCACAACCCCACACAGCAATTCCAATACCCGGCGATCAACTACATGATGCCGATCCCTCCTGATCCCACACCGTCCAAGTTCATCCCACCAATGATGCCACCACCGGTCACTACTTCCCAACCTACACCTTCACCTGGACCTCCTGCAGCTCTACCGGTTCGTCCTCAGAAAGCCTGGCTTACTCCCTCGCCTGACTGGACACCTGCAGATGGCATGTTTGATGTCAATCAACTCTACAACTTCAGCCTGCCCATGACTGTTGCCAACACTCCACATGGCAACCTTCGCGACATGTCAGGCATGGATATTAGGGACGTACGCCTGGTTCAGGTTATCCACGGGGGCCTCACCAACTGGCTGCTCAGGCCGTTTGCACACGGCCGATTCGTGACGTGGGAAGGCTTTCGCACCCGCACTGAGGCCTTACTTTGGAGTACCTGCTCCAAATTACTACGAAGATCGCAGTCACTCAACCTGCTCACCCTGGAAAAGGACCTTGCCAACACGCTGGGTCTCAACATTGATGACTTCAATCAGCGCATCAAGGTCCACGACCATTTGGCCAACCTGGTACTTCAATTTCTTCAACAACATCACACCTCTCTCGCACCTGCTGCCCAGACCGATGACATGGTCAAGAAGTTCAATGACTTGAATCGTGCACATGAACTTCTACAGGCTCAGTATTCCGCATCACTTCGCGCATCGACCTCGCCCACGATGACAAACCAGAAAGATGATGCAGAGTTGGTTACACCGCCACCGGTCAACCACACACCATCCTCGTCACCTGCCAGCTCCCTGCCCACAGCCAGCGCGGCCGCCCTGGATGGCAAGTCGTTTGATAGCGTGGTGCAACCTCGGATCATGCAGTCTCTTCACGGAGTGTCGTCACCGCCGTCCAAACCGGCGGCGTCACAGTTGCTCACCATGCACAGCACGCCGGATGAAGTTGTCAAGTACTACACATGGACCAGTGACCAACCTCGCCTTTTCCTCAAGCAAGCACCCACAACAACCACTTTGGCGTCGCTGGTTAAGTGGGCCAATCACCCGTCCCGGCTCAACGGCAACAAGTCGTTAGATTCTATGGCGACGCAGCTTCTTCAGGCCAGGCAGCGCATGCCGAAGGGCGATGCGCCCACACTCGGTGCAATGGCAGCACTATGGGGTCTTGAACCCGGGTACCTTACCAAACTCACCGAGAAGGCATTGAGTCACCTCATCGTGACCGCTCGCCTGCTTTGTGGATGAGAAGGCATCATATCGACCTTCGTTCTCATATGAGCCCGGAGCGGCAACAATGTCACGGATGAGTCCAGGTGAAAACTCGTCCGTCAAGTGTTTGCGTTGCACATGATTGATTTTGTACTTGCTTGTTCTTGCATTGCCTCTTGTGTGATTGTCTGTGATGCTTGTATTCATGTCGCCGCCTTGTGGTAGATTTCGTTGGTTGCATCTCACCATGTTGGATGAACTTCGCCATTGCGGAATCTATGATGATGTTGCACAATGGCAGTCGCTGGACGACCTTCTGCACTCGTTGACTACATTCTCGACGTGCTGGCATTACTGTTTCCCTGGACTACCACCACCGTCGATTCCAATTGAAGAGTACGAATCCATCACACAATTGCCGTGGCTGGGTCTCATCATCGAGGTCTTAGTTATGGTCCGGATAGCCCTCCAGATTCCGAATTGCGCTATGTCAAACTCTCAGCACACCGTGGCCAACAGGTACGAACTTCACAGATGTCGGTGCGCTGCCTATTTATTGATCAGTTTCTTACAACGTCTCATTTCACAGGATCACGGCTACATCCCGCCGTTCTTCGAAGTTCTTCACTTCTACAAGACTTCTCTCTTGTGTGAAATCATGCACTCAACTTTCGCTGACACGCGACATCTACGCTCATTGCGGGCGCGATTTCCTGACCTCTACGACTTCATACATGATCCAGGTCATCACCAACAACCGTGCGTCTACATTCGACTTTCCCCATGGCACACACCATACTATGTTGGGGCGACTGATCAGGATGTTCTACGTCGTGAACACTCACGCAGTCGCAAATTTCTACAACTACTTCGTGGACGGCATGCCTTCTTTGAACCGGCGCTTCACTACTGGAAGCGATCCAACACTTACTGGCTCTTCTGTGCTGTACCAGTGGAAATCAAACTTCCTGTTTCCTCGGTGTGGGTTCAAGAAAGCAAATGGCAATTCCTGCTACGCCCGCATTTGAATGCGCCCTGGGTACACAGAATCTTGCGCAAGGTGGGCTTCCGGGAACATCTTGTAGATTTTCGACGCCACTCGTTGTCGTCGCCCACTTCCCTCAGCTTGCACAAGCGCTTTCGACGACGACTACATCCGGATCTCCAACGGCAACTACGACCTGACACCCTGGATGACATTCAAGCCCACTACTCGATCCTCTATCAGCTGGGATCGAATACAGGAGCGTCGTTCCAAGTCATGCGTGACCTACTGTCAGCCGCTTTCCCTCCCACTCAGCTGTACTACTTATTGCGGCTCGCAGTATTTGTCAACGAACCCTTCCGCTCCAAGGCCCAGAAGCTCCTCGCCCAGGTACTACGCAAACGACGGCTACAACCACCCACCACTTTAACACAGCTACTTTTGCCGCCGCTGCATGTCCAGAATTGGAAAGCTCTACTGGGCACATGGTTACAAAGCTGGATTGCTTCTCATCGGGATCTGTTCCCCTCTCTTTTCCTTCCAAAGATCCGGGTTGTGGAAACTCGCAGCGCCACACTGGGCGACAAGATATACAACTATCGCACATGGCAGCGCAAATGGGCGCCTGACACATTCTTTCCGTGTCGCTGTTTGGACATCGATGATAGCCATCTACACCGTGCACATGGTCACGCAGTAATGTTGGATGAGTTTTCTCGCATCAATGCGGACATTAACATTGAAATCATGACCGCCTCGATGAAGGATCAGTTTTTCGGTGATGTCGACTTATTGCATCAACGTTTCACCACACAACTTCGCAAACTTGCTCGACGCTGGCATGTACATGGTTCCGGTCTGCTTTCAGATCTACAGCCAGTTGTGTCTCAGCTAATGGATACTCATCGGATCAACCTTCAAGATCGGGCTTATTGGTCATCGACATCGTTGCAACGCACTGTGGCTTCTTTGTCTTCGTGGGTAGTCATCCCGGCGGATCATTTCCCCTCCCGCGCACATGTGATGTGCCCGTCCCTGTTTGCCATATTGATGCGGAAGACATTCTGCGCGGGGGATGTCTTCTCACTTTGCCGCGAATCTGCAGCATCCTTCC